CAGAGTCCTTTAGGTCTTCAGTCTGACGCTTTCCCAGCTGAGCTGTCTCGGCGGCCCGGACCTGGTCCCGGTCCCGCGTAATCTTCCGGAGTATTGAAACTCTCCCTCGCAGGCCTAGCGTGCTCTTTAACCTCTAATTTTTTTTGCTCCGTGCCACGCGCCATTCACTCTCCCCTGCAAACACCGGCTCCCCGAAGTCCGCCCGAAAAGGACCCACGTCGGAAGCAGCGGGGGCGGGGCGGGGCGGAGCGGGGGGGGGGGGGCAGGTGCGGCCGGGGTCCCTGGCGCAAACGGTGCGCAGATACCGGGAACGAAATACGAAAACATCCTCCCTTCCGGCTCTCTTCCTCCTCCCCGTCCTTCCCTCCCGTCCATCCCCCTTTTCCTCCGCCTCTTCCTCTTCCTCCTCCTCCGCCTCCCTCTCCGGTCTCAACGCAGAGGCTCCGCCCCCGGCCGCCTTCCGCCCTTGCGACGCTTCCGGCTGTAGACCGTGGTCCTGCTGGGGTCAACCCTTAAGCCAAGGTGTGCTTCCTGCTCCTGCGAGGAGAACCGCTGGGGGCCCAGTCACCTCCTGTTCCCAGTTCTGCTCCCCTCCTGGTCCTCCTTTTCCCCTCCCTCGTCCTCCTGTTCCCCTCCCTCGTCCTCCTGTTCCCCTCCCTCGTCCTCCTGTTCCCCTCCTGGTCCTCTACTGCTCACAGGTTGGCGGGGGGGGGGGGGCAGACCCAGGGAGTAGACTGGGATCCAAAGTGCTTATTTCTGTCTCACTGGCTAAGACATGGGTTTAAGAAGAAGTGCGGGCCTTGTTGGAGCTGTGAGAAGCAGAGGAACATGCATGGCTTTGAACCCTGTCAAGAGGGAAGGGCACACGAGGCCGATCCACGCTCTTACAGATGAATGCCACGAAGAGCCTCCTTGAGGTAGCAGTCAGATTTCTGAGGGTGACTGAAGATGAGGTGGTTGGCCAGATAGAAAATCCAGTCTTAAATCCCACTGTTCCCAAACTGTGTCCTCTTAGCTGCCACACTGGGAGAAATGCAAGAGAATCCTCTGCTCCTACAGTGTCTCTCCCCATTCATCTGTTCCACAATGCCTCCTCCACATATTGTCCCCTGGGCCGTTTTCCCCGAGCACTAGGAAAAGATCTCTGGGCAGAACTGTCTCCTGTCTTCAGCCTCTTGCTGCCCTCTCTCCTTCTTGTGTTTGCAAAGCTTCAGGCTGCTTCCTCTTTAGCGTGGCTGAGCCACAGACTCTAAGAAGCTATTTCAGTGCCTTGCACCAAGGTCTGTTACCTGGAATATGTTAAGGACTCCTACAAACCACTAAGGAAAAGACTAAAAACTAAGAAACTAAATTAACATGCACTTCCCAAGAGAGGATGGCTTGTGAGCAGTCCAGACAGTTCTGCATCACGTTGTACCAGGGAAATGCAAAGGAAAGCCACAGTGAATAAATACTATGCCTCTCCGTCCACATCCCGCACCTCGAGCCGGCACCGTGGGCGTCTCCGAGGGCGTGGAGCAACGGGAGCCCTGCACAGGGCTGTGAATCCCTGTGTCCACTCCACGAGACAGTCTAGAAAACAGGGCAGCGAGCAAGCATCGGGCCTGTGGCTGCAACACTTGACAGCCACACTTGCACTGAAAGAAAGGCTTGAGCATTCCCTTGGAAGACAGGTGCAGGCAGGTTTAGTGCAGAATTCGACATTTAAGCAAAACATTAGGAATGCTCTCAGTGGCCATCAAGAGTACAACCAATTAATAAATCATAATGCATTGTACTGACACAATGGAGTGCTCCATCCAGAGCAGTGGAAAAGAACTGCTACAGCAGCGACCTAAGTGGATCTAGTCTTTCAAAAGTGTTGAGATGTGGTGCCGCCGCCTGCCTCGCAAGTGCAAGGCCCCGAGTTCGATCCCTGATACAAAAAACAGAAAGAAACAAAATTGTCGAGTAGAAGAATCCATGCTCAAACCAACACACACTGCTATGGTCTGAATGAGCCCCTCCAACAGGTGTTGCCCTGTCCGGGTTAAGAGGTGGGGATTGAAACCAAGCCCTTCGGCCACGAGCCCCGCCCCCGCCCCTGCCCCCAGGAAAGGGGTTTGGGAGCTTGGTGCAGGGAGTTGCCCCTTCCTGTCCCCCACCTTCTAGGCCTGGTCAGACTCCAGTGCTGGCGCCCTGACCAACAACCCCCGCCTCGGGAACTGGGAGTGCTTTGTAACTATGTGCTCCCCTGAGTTCTCCCAGCAGCACTGCGAGGCGGTCACACACCACACACAGAAGAACAAGGGAGAGAAAAGTCTTGACACAGAGGCTAGAGAGTAGGGTTGGAGTGAGGTACAGGGCGCTGTTGGGGACTGCGTGTTGGTTACACACATCACAACCATAAGCTGAGTAATTTTTATGCATTTACTTCATATAAATGAAAAATCAAATTAGATCACTTGAGAGCCTGGCGTAGTGGCACAAGCCTGTAATTTCAGCACTGAGGAGGAAGAGGCAGGAAGATCCTTGTGATTTGAGGCCAGCCCGAACTACAGAGTGGGACTGTTAAAAAAATAATAATAGTAAGTAAATACACGAAAGACCTGAGATTTTCTGGAAAAACATATTTTAGATTCCGTTGCAGAATTTCTTTCTCCCCCTCCCTCAACTCTAAAAGATTTATCTCTGGGTTTTCTTTCTCTCTTTTTTTTCTCATCAATAGTATTTATTATTCATGTGAACAGCTTTACAAAAATGGTATCACTTGATTTGCTTAGCACACACGCATTTACAGCTAATTTTGAATAGCGCACTGTTTCATAGTTTAAGCGACTCATGTTTCATGGTGAATAGTACTCCTTTGAAAACAAGGGTGTTGGACTGGAGATTTCCTCAGTGGTTCTACCACCTGCCTCGAGAGTATAAGGACCTGAGTTCGATCCCTGCCAGGGGGAAAAGGAAATAGTAGGGTACGTGGAAAATTAATGGAAGGGAAGAACTTTTTACACATTGGAATTCTAGCAACCTCTGCTGACTAAAACTCTGCTAGTTGTGCTTTATATCTGGGGTTTTTTTCTCTTTAAATTATTTTATTGGTACATTTTAGGTATACAATACGTTTACATTTATCATTGGGTGCTTGTATCTGCACATGATGCATCTTGCTTATGTATCTGGTCTTTTGTTGTTATGTAATCATTACTCTTGCTATCAGAAGATTCCCTAAAATGATCATAAGTAATCAGCTGACAGGAAGTAGTGTTATTGCCGGGTTTCTCACCAGCCCACCAACCGCAGAGGCCCACAAGATCTCCCGGTTTTCTATCCGAAGGGAGCTCCAGTGTTGTAACTGGGAGTTTAAGGAAAGAAAAGCAAGTGGAGGTACTGGGGATTGAACCCAGGACCTCGTGCATGCTAAGCACGCGCTCTACCACTGAGCTACACCCCCCGCCGCACGCGGTGGCTCGCGAAGCCACTTGTTGAGCGTCACTGTGTCCGCGGCTGGGCCGGCGCCCCCCGGGTCGCGCGGGGTCCTCCCTGCCGCCTTACCTCGCCTGGCGCGGCTACACCGAGAAAACCGCAGGGCTCTTTCGCTGCCTTGGGCAGATACCGAGCATTTATTAGAGGAAAATCGACAGCCCCCAAATAAATCAATTATGAATATTGACCGCAATTCTAAAGCTAGAAAATGTCCCGGACAACTTTGCAGCCATTGTATATGGCGTTGTAACACGCGTATTGAAATGGAGTCTCCGGCGTATATGAATGAAAGCACAAATAATGTCACAAATTCTTGTGATTTTTTCAAAATTATTAGTAAAATATTATCCAAGAAGCTTTATGGGTAGCTGAATCTTTTCTAAAAGTCCTATTATGACTCCTCCCCCTAAAAACTAAAGCTGTGGTTAGGCTTCAATTTCCCACCTCAGGGACCGTTTGGATATTTACAAACGGATCTCAGTCAGCAGTCAAATATTTGAAAAACTGAACATGTTTCAATATCGTTAAAAATACAGCTGCACAGCTGCTGAGTGGCTCGGAGGTTTCCGTTCCGAAGCCTGGCGCGTGACGCCATCGGAACCTCCCGCGGGCCGGTCCCGCCTGCGCCGGGCGGAGCTGTCAGCGCGCGGCCGCGGCAGGGGCTCTGCCTTCACGAGCCACTTAAAGAATTCCACTTTATCGTGAAACTGTTAACATTCCCCCATTAAAACATTCCTAAAACTGAGCAAATAGTAACAAATTCGTGCTTTTAAAAACTAGCATTTTCGGGTCGGGTGTGGCGGCCTGTCCTTCCAGAACCTGGGAGGCTGAGGCAGGAGGACCGCGGCGAGTTCGCTAGGCCCTGAACTACGTAGTGAGACCTTGTCTAAAAAAAAAATTGGCATTTTGAAATTTTCAGGAGAGCTCTTGTTAACCTAAAATTGCACCGTCGGTGCTAGGATAATATTCGTGCCACGACCCCCTAAATCCTTGTCATTCCACACTGCTGCCGGGGAAGGGAGTCCCCGTGCTCGCTCACGGCGCGCGCCCGTCAGAGCCGGCTCCGGGCTGCGTGTGCTTGCGCGCGCGTGCTCGGCGGCGTTCCCGTTCTCTCCCGCTGGCCAGGAGGCAAAAGAGTCGGCTTCGTCTTCCGTTTGTGTTTCGCCCGAGGATGAAAAAGTGGAGGTGCCGGGGATTGAACCCGGGGCCTCGTGCATGCTAAGCACGCGCTCTACCACTGAGCTACACCCCCGTACGCTAAGAGGGGCGCGAAATGCACCTATGGCTGTGACGCCGCCGGCCCGCCTCGAGCAGCCCCGGCCAGGACCGTGAGGACTCGGAGAGGACGGCGAGCGGAGCCGAGTCCCCGCGCCGGCCGCCTGCAGGCAGGGCGGGAAGGGACGGGCGCCTGGAGGCGGGGGGCTGCCGCGACCCGGGCCGAGAACCGCGCGCGGAGGCCCTGCGGGGCCCGGGCTCCGGAGGAAGGGCGGGCTCGGCGCGCCCCCTGGCGACAGAGCGAGGAAGGGCGGCGGGGGCCGGCGCCGCGCAGAGGACGCCGCTGCGTCCCGGGGCTCACCGCGGGCGGGAGTTTGAGGACTGAAGCGGAGAAATGCGGTCCCGGTTCGAGACGCTGTGCCACGCGGAACCTGAATGTGCGTGTCTTCGCGGCTTCAGCTCCGAGGACGGCCGGGGGAACCACCGCGTCCCCTCCGGACCTTCCGCGCGAGCTCTGCCGTCGCGCGCGGGCGCCCGCTGTGGATTTTTCTGGCTGGCCTTGGCCACTCGGGGCTCCCAGCCGCGGGCAAAGCTGAGGTGCGACCTGGACGGAACAAGGGTCCCGGAGCCGTGAGCGCCGAGGGGGAAGGCCGGAGGAGAGCGGCCCCGGCCGGAGCGCGCGCTGTAGCCAGCTTTCCGCCGGGCGAGGCCGCTGCGGAAGGAACCTGCAAATACGGCCGCGTCTTCGGTTCAGCGGGCTGCCTGGAACCCAGGACCGAGTGTAAAGGAAATCGAAGGCTAAGCTCATCACGTATATTTTTAGAAGTAAGATAATTTCTCTTTATTAGTAGATTAGCTCAGATATGTGCTATAGTGTTGGAAAGCTAACACGGGTGTTCACTGTATGTCCCTTGTAACTTCCAGCAGGTTTGAATTTTTTCAATTAAAACCTAATAGGTGGAGACATAGGCATGTTTTTCTTTCTTCCTCCAGGATGGTGAAGCATTTCACGTGTCTATTTATTTGTTTGGATTTTTGAGACCTTGTGTAGCCCAGGCTGGCCTCGAACTCAGGATAACCCTCCTTCCTCAGCCTCCTGGCACTCTAGTGTCTTTTTAGACTCTTTTCTTTCAAATGGCCTCTACCCTGCTCGTGAAGGGAGCCCACACTTTCCCAAGAAAAGTATTGTTTCCACTGTCTTCATGTATATAATTGCAAAAATTATTAATCAAGTGCGGACGTTCTGGGGTGTAGCTCAGTAGTAGGGCATGATCTTGCATGTACAGGCCCTGGGTTCGATTCCCAGCACAGGGGGAAAAAGTTGACATGTTAAAATCTGTGCTGTATTGACCTAAACAAGTGACTTTCCCCCCCAGGAACATAAGAATGATTAATCATTAGATTAAAGTCTATTATTAAAATATACCTTATAGGAGAAAATTAAATGATCTCAGTGTCAAAAGAATTTGAAGACTGCATATGATGAATGTCTGTTGTATGCATTTTTGTGGGATTTTTTTTTTTTTTTTTGGTACCGGGGATCAAACTGGGGACCTTCTGCTTGTGAGGCAGCCAGCGGTATCACAGAGTTAAATCCCCAGCCCAAGAACTTCTTTATAATTAATATGAACTGACAAAGAATTTTTAAAAATCTAAAGTCCAATAGATTTTTAAAATGTATATACTGGTAGAATCTGTAAAATGAGATGCGTTATCCCAAGGAGCATAACACTAATCTTGTCATAAAGGCAGAAATGTGGGTTTCTCAGACCCACGTTTATTCTTTAGAATATTTCTTTTCTTTTCTTTTTTTTTTTTTTTTGGTACCAGGTCTCAAACTTGGGTCCTTGCCCTTTTGAGGCAGGCAGCGGAACCACTGAGCTAAATCCCCAGCCATAGAACATTTCTATTGATAAATTATTAAGTTTAATTTTAAGTTGAGTTTTATTATATTAAACAATGAGTACTTAGCAGGAAAAAATAAAAAAATAAAGCACCAAATTTTTATTATTTATTGAAATAAGAAAGCATCAAAATTTTCAACATTGACAGTTTTTTTGGTGTAGAGTCTAAAAAAGAACAACACAAATTCACATATGAACTACAATGAAAATACCAATAGCGCTTTACCCTCCCCCCAAAAATCTTTACTTCAATTTTCACACCTAAGGCAGTCTGCATACATTACAGCAGCACGTTCCGTACACATGTACCACTTACTTGACAGGACACATGCTTTGCTTTCCTGTCCTTTTTGTAGGACATACTTGACATCTCGCTGGTCTTGCTGTTTTTCAGGAGGTTCTTATTATTTTATACAGTGTGTCGTTAACAGGAACATAGAATATCAGTAAAATAAAGTATTAAACTCTTTAGTATTTAAGTCCACTTAGAATAGACCAACATTTTCCCATCAGCTGTATACTTGCTTACAACATCAGAAGTAAATTCCTCAATGAACTACAATGAAAATACCAATAGAACTCTACAGCAAAAGTAAGCTTCGCTTCAGTTGTCACCCAAGGCAGTCCTCACACAGGACAACTGCATGTTCCATGCACACAACTCGCTTACATGTGCTTACATGTGTTTAGCTTTCCTTTCCTGTGTGACAGGCCATTCTTGTCACCTCTCTTGTCTTCTTGTTTTGTCAGGATCTTCCTACTGTTTTGTATAACATGCACTTAGCAGGTAAATAAGACAGCAATAAAATAAAATATCAAATATTTAATGAGTGCTTAGCATAGACATCAACATTTTCACATCAGCTGTTTACTTGCATAAAAAACCTAAGAAATAAAAACCTATGTGAACTACAACCTAAACACAAACAAAAGTCTACCACAAAAATAATCATCTTTGCTTTAACTGTCGCATCCAAGGCAGTCCTCACACATGAAAACTGCATGTTCCATACACAAGTATCGCTTACACGATAGCATGTGTGTTTTGTTTTCCTGTCCTTTCCTGTAGGGCACAGTTGACATCCTTTTGGTTTTCCTGTTGCCAAAGTAGCTCTTGGTGATGCTGCACCTGCCTGTTCACCTGTCAGCTCACCACTGTGTTCCACGATTTTTTTGCTTGGTTCCCTGGACAAAAACACTTTGTTTTTCCTCTGCTGTAAATGATCTCTTATGAGTTCCAGTCCCAATCCTCTGAGAAAATTTCTCCGTGGTATTTTGCACTTGTTATTTTCTTTGTAAACTATCAAACTATTTATGCAACACATGTTTAGGAATGAGTAAAACAAAACCATTGGCCAGTGCTTTGTGTTTTGAGTGACTTCATAGTCGCTGCATAACTCCTCATCAACATGTGCCCCGCCTTTGGTTTTGTTGTAGAAAGCCTCCATCTCAGGCTTCTGTTTTGTCAAGGTTTCCCTATCAATATTTCCACCATGGTGCAGTGTTGACATCAGCAGTAAGTTTGCTTTTCTTTGCCATATATGAGGCCAATGTAAATCTTTCTGAAATCCAAAGATTATACTATATAATTCTGTTCTGAAATTGCAACACTTCATTTGGAATTTCTGCTTTGTTCCTGAGTACAGTTCCTATGCTGTTCAACTTGTGCTGTGTTAGCAAATGTAACATCAATTGGAAACTGGTAAATCCATTGTCAAATGTCATTCTGATTAGTTTGGGAGGTGGGAGCAGCAAGTCTGTTCACAACATCATTTTGTTTATTACTATATGAATAAGGACCCGATGGCTGAGTTCCAGGATAAATTTCTAAATTGAAAGCATAGTAACTCTTTGGATCTACAAAGGCATAATTTTTTTCTTTGTATCGGGGATCAAGCTTGGGACCTTGTGATTGCAAAGCAGGCGGCAGAACGACTGAGCTAAATCCCCAGCCCAACAAAGGCATACATTTTTTGCCATATTTTGACCCATTGTTTTTCCATAAGTCTTTGACATACCTGTGATTACCATGAGAAATCTCTGCTAAGTACAGCAGACTTATAAATGCTTGGAGTTCAGCTAGTGAGTTGTCATAATAAATACATTTTTGAATATGACTATTGGTGCATACAGAATGTTTTACTTGGATTTCAGCCTTTTTATATTTCACAGCATCTTATGTTACAATTTCCATTCTTGAAAGGCAGTGCTAGCATTCTGTCCAATAGGTTTCACCCCTTCCAAGATCCTGACTATATTTTTGGACCTAGTTCTAACACTGGTTCCATTTGGTTGTGTGGCCATTTTACAACATTTCAGCTAGTCAAATATGTACTGCATTGCTGTTTTCTTCATCATCTGGATGAAGGAGCCTGCATTCCCTGTGTCTGTATCAGTCAATTCTATTTCACTATCAGAAGAACTCTGGCTCCCATGGCCAATATCAAAGTCATCATAATCATCATACCTCCACATCACCTTCTGTTACAAAAAAATATATTTTACCATAATGGATCATCTTCGTCATCCATGCATGAATAATCTGTTGATGCACTTTTGACCTCCAAAACTTGCAAATCTGGTTTTTCATGTGCCATTGTACTGAATTTGGCTACTTCTACCAGAAAAATCAAAAGAAAACTTTTTAAAAACAAACCCTAGAACCGAGGATTTAACAAACCCTAGAGTGGAGTGGTGTGGGCCCACGGGACCCTCATGCACAGGTACATAAGCAAAACCAGCTAGAACATGACGTGGGTAAAAATTCCTTTTTGCTACTTTTGCACATGTCCACACACCTTGCCATTCGTCATACCAAGTGGGTAAACACATAGATTGCTTCCTCTCCCTCAGAGAAAGGTACTGAGATGCATAGGTGGCTACTATTATGGTGAAGTACAAATTTACAGTAGAAAGTAAGGGATGAGTTTGCTGGACCCAGTGTCATGTTCAGCAGGTTAAATTGACTACATCCAAGAGGCAAGTGTGGTGGTGCACACTTGTAACCCTAGCATTCAGGAGGGTGAGGCAGGAGGATCTTCATGATTTGAAGGCCAGTCTGGGCTACATAGTGAGTTCAAGGCCAGAATGAACTACATAGAGACCCTTTCTTAACCAACCAACCAACCAACCAAACACAAAACAGGATGTTAGAGTTGGCCATTTGTCCAAAGAATGCAAATGTAGATATAAAAAAAATCTTTTTAATTTTTTGAAGCAAAACATTTGATATATTTTAGATATATCTATAACATTCATCATAGAGAATTTGTACCTGTACATGATACATCTTTTTTTCCCATTCTCTCATCCAACCCCTCCTTCCCCTTATATACAAAAGCTCTCATTTTTTCCTTCTATTTTAATATCCCCTGCAAACAAATTTAGAAACTTGAAGCTGAGCTGTGGATTTTAACTGGAATGAGTTTTGGTTGAGAAAATGCAAACAATCTTGAAAACAGGCTTGCAATATGGGAGAGATAACATTAAACTTTTCAGACTAAGATCTTTAGTGGATTCCCTTTGAATTTTCACCTTGACATTTGTACAATTTGCAAGTAAAATTTGGACTTCCCTACTCAATTTTGTACTTTGTTTTGTATTTTGATACTCTCTCGCTATATAGCTCAGGCTAGCCTCTAACTTGCACTGATGCTCCTGCCTCAGCTTCCTGAGTGCTGGAATTACAAATATATATGATGCCACACCCAGCTTGATTTTATACTTTTTCTTTTTTCTTTCTTCCTTCTTTCATTATTCTTGTACTTGAGTAGAACAGACTGACTACAGATTTATTCTGTAAAAATGTTGGGTTTGGATTCATACAAGCTTCAGGACATGCTACCCCAAGTTACGAGTAGGAACCAGAATATTCCACTGTCTTAGCTATCCGTCGCTGACAAAGTTCCTGAGAAAATCAGTTTAAGAGGAGAGATGTTCCTTTTGGCTCATGGTTTAGGGTTTTTTGTCCATAAACTCTTAGCTCTCCAGTCTTGGGTCTGTGGCATGGCAAAACAAGGCAACAGCACTATCTAAATGTAACCGTTCTAGGTTCTCATTATCCCAAAGAACTAAGACACAAAAATAGAAGTGAAAACAGATGGGCCAAGATACGCTCCTCAGGACGGGTGCGGCTAGGAAAGAGGTCGCACCCTAGGTTTTTACAGGGAGGGCGCCGCGCTTTGAACTGGTGCCACACTTCATTCCAGAGACATCTCCTTTCTGTTGGAGAAAGGGATTTTTGTGCCTACATGGATCTCTGAGGCACTATCATGGAGCCGAAGACGGGGGGATGAGGGGTTTACGCTGGGTCACTTTTAGTCATTTAGGAAATTCCACAGCAGCTGCGCCCCAGGCATGGCTTGGTCGTTAGAGGTGGGGCCTCTCTGTGGTTTCCGGAGAGCTCATCTCGGGGCAACAAAATCCTGGAGGACAGGTGCCCTTCGTCTTCCCTGACTGTGGTGCAGCTATCAGGACCAGGCACTTCGTAGGTTTTGGAGAGCCAGCTTCCTCTTTCTTCCTCTGCCCTTCAGCCTCCCTTCTTCCAGGAATCTCTCCTCTCCACCTCCTCCACCAGTAGATGTACGCCGGAAAACGCTTCACCTCCAGCCCAGCAGCGAGAAGAGAGAAGACCAGAAGTGTGGGGGTCCGGGATATCCGCTTTCGGGCCTCGCCCCCAGCGACCTCACTTCCGCCCAGCAGGCCCCTCCCCTCGAAGACTCCCCCACCTCCACTTGAGCCGCAGGCTGCGGACCGAGCCCCTAGCACGTCGGCCGGGTAGGGGGATATTGAGAGGCCACCCTGACGGCAGCGGCCCCAAACGCTGTCTTTCTGGCCTCAGGGTGACCTTGAGCGGTCCTGTTGCGGTACGCAGGCCGGGAGAGGCCCGAGGACGTGTGGCAGGGTACCAGGGTCCCCTCGCCCAGGCCTGGTGACGACTCCCACGTCCAGGTGGCGTGGCCACCACCTCCCAGAGCGGACCCTGGGAAGGTCCGCGGAATGGGTCCGCGGACGCGGGAGCTGGGTTTGCACACCAAAGATCGCAGGGAGGGGAGGGCAGGGGGAAGGGGCAGAAGCTTGGCAGCCATTCTTTGTGCGAAGAGCGCGGGGTACGGGAAGGGGATCCTTGCTTTGATTTCATTTTGTCTAAAATAGTTTGTCATTTTTAGAGACCCGGCTAAGGCGTAAACGGGCACGGTGTCAACGTATTCCCTGTAGCTGGGCGCTCCCCTCCTACCCACGGTTGGATGACCACGGGGCCCGCGAAACCCCCGCTCTGCGGGTGGACCCCAAGTGAGCAGGTGGGCGAGGGGAGTCGTCGCCTCCACGGGCCCCGCCCCTCCAGCCCGCGGACCGCGGCCCTCACCGCCCGGGCTCTGCACATTCAATGCCGCTGAGTTTCGGGTTCAGGAAGCGGTTTCAGGGGCGCCGGGCCTTCGCGGTCGTCCCAGCCGGCCCTGGACGCTCAGCGCCCCTATCTTTGAGTCCACGTGGCCAATCTCCCCCGCCGCTGGCCGCGTGGCCTAATGGATAAGGCGTCTGATTCCGGATCAGGAGATTGAGGGTTCGAGTCCCTTCGTGGTCGACGTTTTTCCTTCCTGTGCTACTAGGCGGAAGGAGATTAAACTGAACGACGGTTAAGTCCGGTGTGTGTGACGTTTGCCTTCTTACTGCTGCCCGGGGGAGGGGGCGTCACTAAGGATCTGACTTCCGGGCCGCACGGGGGAAGTCAAGTCATTGCAGGGGGCGGGGCACTACAATTGGTTCCGAGTCCCTGCAAAATAATAAGGAGCTGAGATGAGAAGGAAGAGAGCGGAGGGTGCCCCCCGTGCGCGGTGTGCCTGGCCCGCGGGAGGCCCCGTCTGCCCTCGGCACCGACGTGAGCATGATAACGACCTCTGACTTTGCCGCAGCACAGGTCGACATCCGCTGACGGCGCACACGGTGCCTGCGTCACACCACCACGAGCCTTATCAATATTCCCATTTCACGGAGGCAGAAACCGAGACCTAAAAAGGTTAGTTTCTCGTCCAAAGCTGCATAACAACAGGTAAATCTGGAAACTAAGCTAAAATATGTTATTTTCGGAGCTGATCGAACTCGAGACCTTTCCCTTGGGAGGCAGGCGGTGGAACCGCTGAGCTAAATCCCCGGCCCTGAGCCTCAGTATTTAAAACAAAATTTTGTTGTTTATTACCATGATTTAGTTTTGTTTTCTTATGGTAAAATATGTATAAAATAAAAATTATCATTTTATTTTTTAAACTTAAAATTTGAGGTTTTTATCGCCTTCAACAGAAGTTCTGCAACCATTAACTCCCGATTCCGCCCATTAAGTGAAGCATTAGCTCTCAGTTTTTCTCCATTCTTTCAGCCCTTGCTCAACTCCAGTCTACTTCCTGTCTCTGCATGTGTGCCTGTTCTACACATTTCACGTAAATGGAATTATTCGGTATTCATCCTTTGTTGTTGGGCCTATTTGACTTAGCAAAACGCTTTCGAGATTCATCCATGCTCTAAGGTATCGGAATTTCAATTCTAGGCGGGAGTGTAGCTCAGCGGCAGGGTGAGTGCTTACCATGTGTGAGGCTGGGGTTAGATATCCAACACCTCCAAGAATACACAAAAGAATACCTGTCCACAGCATCAATCAAGATTGCAATAAAGTGAGTAATTCTCTTAGCTAAGGGCGTTGCCTGCTCCTGGACACCGGAAATTTTTAGGGCGGTTCCTAACCTTAACCATCCTACCCTGTGTTGTGTACCTTGAGCTCTACTGGAGCAGAGATGAGGGCAGAACTGCACAGAAATGGTCCCAACCGCAGCAAACGCTCACCTTCTAATGCAGGGTCGGGAGGTGAGGGTGCAGTCCAGTGACGGGTGATTGCCTAGCATGGGCAAGTTCCTGGGTTCTGGTCCCAGCGCTGCAGAAAAAAAAGATTTCTTTCTAAAGCCAAGAATGTGCTTACTTCCTTCACATAGAGCGTCCTCCCCTTGCCTTCTTTGCATTTTGCTTCTCTCCTCTTCCTGTGTCAAGGAACTCCACTCTGAGTCTCAGGGCACAGGCTCTGGGTGGTAGGTGAGTCCCCCGTCTCATTGGTGAGTTCCTACGGCTGACCCTGTAAACAGTCATGCTTGGGCTTCAGAAGGAGTCCTGGGGCCAAAACTCACACCAGAGATGACAGGAATGAGCTCACAGGACAGGAAGCCCAGAAGCCTAATCTAATCCCAGGATGCGATTTACCAAAATGCACACAAGGAGAGATAATCTAAAAGGTTCTTGTAACCATTAAAGAAGTTGAATTAAAAAAATAAATTGAATTAATAATTAATAGTCTTCCAAACAGTAAAGCACCATGCCCAGATGGTATATTGGTGATTTTTTCAAATATTTAAGGAAAAAATAATGTCAGTTCTCTTCAATCTTTTCCAAAAATAGAAAGAGGGAACATTTTTTAATTCATTCTATGAGGCTAGAATTAATACCAAAGCTAGATCAAGACAAGAAAAACTACAGACCAGTATCTCCTATGAGCAGAGATACAAAAATCCTTGATGAAATATTACAAATTGAATCCAATAAAAAGTATAGTATAAAAAGTATAGTATAAAAGTATAGCATAAAAAGAATTATACACCACAAGCAAATGGGATTTATTCCAGGTATACAATATTGGTTTATTTGAAAATTAATGTAATCCATCTCATTAACAGGCTAAAGAAGAAAGCTCCTGTCATTAGTAGATACAGAAGAAAATTGAAAATATACAACACTTATTTATGGCTAGGAAAAAAAAGCTTTCAGCAAACTAGGAATAGAGGGAACTTCCTCAACTTGATAACATGTACAAAAAAAACCCTAAAGCTATGTTATACTTAATGGTGAGAAATGAGAAGCCTTTCTTCTAAGATGAATATAGCAAGGATGTCTCCTCTCACCACTTCCTCCAGGAGTGTAGTAGAAGCCCTAGCTAATGCAATTAAACGTGCAAAGGAAACAAAAGGTGTACAGCCTGGGAAGAAAGAACTAAAAGTATCTTTACTTGCAGATAATGTAATATCTATATAGAAAATGTAAAAAAAAAGGCCAGGAAAAGAATTGTGTAACAAAAATTGACTATAGTAAGGATGGAGGATGCAGGCTAATATACAATAGTCAGTCTCATTCCAATATACAATGAAAAGGTGGAATTTGAAAGTAAAAACAATACCAATCTAGGTGTGGTGGCACCTGCCTTGTAATCCCAACATTCAGACTTGCAGGCCAGCCCAAAGTACATAGTGAGATCTTATCTCAAAAGAAAAAAAAAGGATTTAGAAACAGAATACTGTTTACATTATCACCAAAAAATGAAATACATAGATATAAATTTAAATTTATTTTGATACATAAAATTATACTTATTTGCAGAGTATTGTTATATTTTTGATACACATATTATATCAAGTAATGTTTAAATCAGACTCCAGGTTTTCTTCTTACCCCCTCACACATTTGTCAGTTTTTTATGGTAAAAACATTCAAACTCCTCACTCCTAGCCTTTTGATATGTGGTTGGTTGTCATGGTTTAGATGTGGGGTCCCCCCCCCTCCACGAAACTTCCTGTGTATGGAAGGTGATTGGATCATGGGAGCTGTGTTCATCGGAAGATTCACCCACTAATGTGCTCGGTAGCCGAGTCCGCCGTTAGCTGGCCGGACCTGCTTGGAGGGATGCCTGGGGGTGTGACCTGCAAGGATGTGTCTCCCTCCCTGGCTCCTCCCTTTGCTCGCTGCTTCCTGGGCCCCCGGATGTGAGCAGCTCTCCCCTGCCAGGCCCTTGCAAGGTGCCATTTCCCCTGGGGTTGTCCTGCCATGCGTGGTCAGAGACCCGCGCCACTATCAGCCAAAATCCACCCTCTCCTCCTTTAAGTTACAGGCATCGACTATTTTGTTTGAGAGACAAAAAGTGGTGGAGACATATGTTATCTCCATCTAGACACCTGATGGTACAACAGCACACCAGAATTTACAGCTGCTATTCAACTAGAACTTAGTGCCCGCGGATGGGCCTCTCCCCAGCCCTCTCCTCAGCCTGTGGTGACCTCCACTCTGCTCTTAGTCTCTGTGAGGTCGACACTTTCATACTCCACATATGAGTGACATCCTGTCCTCCTGGGTCTAGCTTGCTCCTCTTGTTAGTGACCTCCAGTTCCACCCCAGATGCCCTCAATCACAGCTTTTCTTTTTTTAATTGCCATTTCTGGGTGTTTTTGTTGTTGTTTCTTTGTTCTGGTTTGGCTTGCTTTGGTTTGCTTTGGTTTTCTGAGGCAGGCTCTCACTATGTGTCCCAGGCTGGCTTTGAACTTCAGGCAGTCTTTCTGTCTCAGCCTGAGGTTTACAGCTGTGAGCCACCACGCCCATTTTGCTGGTTTTGTTTTTGTTTCTTTTTTGATATGATGCTGGGGATGGAACCCAGAACCTCAGTGCATGGGAGGCAAGTGTTCTACTCCTTCAGGACACCTCAGCCCCACCAGTGGTTTTGTCTTGATTCTTCGTGGTCCAGGCAGCAGGTGAGGTTGTCATACAATGAAACAGCCAGGATGGGAAGAGATTATTCTGCCTTTTTTTCCCCTAGGTTTCTGAGTCACATGGCAAGTCTGGTGTTGATCACTCCACAGTCCTTTCACCTTCCTGTGAGGTTCACAACAGTTTTCCCAGTTCTGTGGTCATCAGTGATTCCAAACTTGCCAATTTAACTGTGCTTCATCACCATAGTTAGAAATAACACAATGGATCTGGAACACAGCCTAAAAATCTGGCACATTTTTCTGACATTGTTGCTGTCCTTGGAACCATAAGCCAGCAACCCCCTCCCCCGGAATAGTCCCAGCAGCATGGAAGGAGCAGGACCAGGAATCCTGCAAAATCAGCTGCATTTACCATCATCCAACCAAGCAGCCCTCTCCCTGACAGCATGCATGTGTAAGGAAAATAAAAATGCAGCTTCATGCTGAGGTCCATTAACTAACAGGTCAACAAATAAAGAGACTGGCATATCCATGTGTTGGGACTCTGCCCATCAGTGAGACGGGGAACTACCTGCATGTGCAACAGTGTGGATGTCTCTCCCGAGCATTATTGCCAAGGGAAGAAGGCAGATACAAATGACTGCAGCTTGCAGGGTTCTACTGAGTTCTAGAAAAGGGAAAATGATAGTGGCAGAAAGCACACTGGTGTTTGCCAGAGACCAGAGGTGGGGAGGGGACTCAAGGAGTAAACATTCTCTGATTAGGGTGACTTACATGGCAATACATTTGTCAGACCCTATCACATTTTACTCTAAAGATTGTTGAATTTGGGGCCGGGGATTTAGCTCAGTGGTTTCACTGCCTACTGTGCAAGTGCAAAGACCCGAGTTCGATCCCAGGTACAAAAAAAAAGATTGGTGAATTTTGTTGTGTGTGTATTAGACCTCAGTAAAGCTGTCCGTCCGTGTCCGTCTCCCCCCCGTACCAGGTATCAGACTCAGGATTTTGCACTTGCTAGGCAGGCACTGAGCCACTAAGCTACATCTCCGCTCCTCCCTCCCTCCCTCCTTCCTTCCTTTCTTCTTCCTTTCTTTCTTTTCTTTCTTTCCTTTCTTTTTTTTCTTTCTTTCAGGC